AGGTTGCAGACACTTCTGAATTTTGGTAGCAATACTCTAGGAGGGCATATCTCTGTCCTGAAAAATGATACAGGAATGAATACTCTTCTTGTGACTCGTTCTGGTCATTCATCCAGCATCACAGAAACCAAACAATGGAAATGTGGCCAAATTCATGATTTCCTAGCCCTCTTGCTCAGGCTTCTTGCCTGATTGTTAGTATAACAGCATTACCTTGAAGATTATGATGAAGATATGCTGTCCAGATGTGTGCACAGTTTTGAGCAAAATGCCTGGTACAAATTGGTCAACAAATAATAACTGAATAATTATATGAATATTTACTGAGTGACATGGATTCTATGAATAATTATGGAATAATTATTGTAATCACTTTTACTGGTGGTTCTCAAAACTCATCTATGTGTGACCTCAAGTAAGCCACATAACTTTGTGAACCTGCAGTTTCATCATTTTTAAAATGAAGAAACCTGACAGCTTTTCATTCTGCCACAGGTCAGGCCTCCCAGTTACCAGAACATACATTTAGTTAAAGCCTTTGATATATCTCAAAGCAGTATCCTTACAGTGTAGTTGGAGGATTGTGGGGGCTGCAGAGAGGCACGCTTTCCAGTGGGATTGATCCAGCCCTCCTTCCTTCATTGCCACATGAATGCTGGGCAGCCCAGGGTGACACCCATTGCACCCTCAACTTAGGCAAGCCCAGCAGCCAAACATGGGAGACTTGGGCTACATAATGGTCTCCCAAATCCCAGGCTCACAAAACCTAGGTGGATATGATGGCTGAGAAAGTGAGGGGGAGGTTCAGGAGATCACTCTTCTCTACTCTCCTCTCATCTCAAATTCACCTTCTATTGCACAGCAACACGGAGGACCACCAACCACCCCTGACCATCACCTTGATCTTGCTGTGTTTGGTTAGTGGGATGCAACCACACATCAATGGTGTTAGATGAACTCAGAAAAATATCTATCAAACAGTATTCCATAAGGGGACCACTCATGGCCCTGTTATTTTCAATATATGGAAAAAATGAAATGAATACAACAAAATCATATCAGGTTTCCAAGATTTCCCAAGATAGATGGTCACATATGATTTCAAGAGATCTCTATAGAAATGATTTCAATGACGTGACACGTTGAAAAGAGCTCTTCTGGGACTGGAATGACATCCGTAAGTGAGAAGTATGAGATGTAGTGTTCAGTCACATTAAAAAGAGGAAGCTTTGGATGTAGGGACGTCACACTGGTCTTAAGTGTAATGAAAAGCCTCTTCTGCCACAAACGTCAGTGTAGTGGTATCTGCCAGTAAGAAAAACTAAATAGCATAACCATGGGATGCAGCAAGAAGAATATTGAGCCAGGAAAGAAAACATTTTGAAGAAATGAATTACTCATTGACTTTCTAGTGGATACAGAAAAAACTGCAGAAGACTCAGAGGATATGATGGCAGTGTAATAGATTGATATCTTAAACTTATGGAAAAGCCTTCAATTCTGTTTTAACATATGAGAAGGAGAGGTGACTTCATGACTAGCATTAAGAAAGTATCACGTGTTGGGAAACTGTTTCTGCCTTGATGGTTTTATACATAAGAGATGAAAAATGAGGCACATGCTTAGATGTATTGGGAATGAGATGGGACTGTGGCATTGTCACAGCGGTACACAAATACTGAGAGTGACTTATGGAGTAATGGTCCCCATCTGTTGTGACCTCAAGTGAGACCAGGAGGCCTGTGTTTTAGCAAACCCTGGGCAATGGAATGAAGGGCTCCTAAGATTCCATGACACGCCCAGCTTCTAATTCTGTTATTGCAACAGCAGACCGTTACCTGGGACACTGCCCACTATCTCCCACACTCTTGTCAGAGTCTGAGCTACAGGCAGTGCCTTCAGTTCTCAGCTCAAGCATTGCGAACCTTGTTTTTGTGGTTAAGGACCCTAAAGTACTGTGAGGAGGGATCAGGTTTTTCTCAACAGTAAGTTAACAATTTGAGTTACTGGCATCCCCTGGTCCTGATTAAAACTATTTGATTTCCAGTTTTTAACCATCATGTGTTTGGGTTTCTTCTCCCCAGTCCCTGGCTCTCCCTGTGGTGCCCCAAATGTCAGCATGGTGGCATCCTGCAGGACGTGTTCCAGGAAGACGACAGAGACGAACTTTCCAAATACCATCGAGAATTCCTATTCCCAGCAGGAAGAGACCAAGCAGAATATCAGAGCCAGCAAAAATAGACTTCTTATGAGCCAGGTGGCCTACTTCCTGAACTACCAACTGAAGACATACAGTAAGTTCTATAGGTTTCCACCATGAAAGTGATGAATGATGTCCTGTCTTGTCTCGAGAAACTAACTGTTCTCTTCATCAAAATTAGTTTCATCCTTCCCATACTTGCAGAAAATAGCAATGGGTATTTTAACACTTAGTTAAAGATGGAAGACAGTGGCAAAAGTATTTAGCAACTTTTCCACGCCTTCAGTAAGGTGGGTGTGGGACTGGGGTTACAGTCCCAGCTATTGATTTCTGACACAGGCACAGAACCACCTGTTTTGCTCAGCAAAAGGCTAAATCATGTTTACAGGAGTCCTCTCTGTACCACCTAAGATCCTGCAGACAAGTAGCATCTAGACTGTTGGCCTAAATGTCTGACGCTACTGAACTTCCATTCAGTTCTGGTTTCTGCTAAGGCCAAGTAGGCAAAGCTGTGTTCTGGGGACACTGGGGGAAACACAGTGATAGCACACAGTACCCACTGTGAGGAGCTGGAAGGGGACCCTGTTCCTAATAGAACCTGTGGTATCCGTAAGTGGCACCATCAAGATCAAGGAGTACCCTGGTACTGGTGCGTCAGCTCCCCAATTAGGTGGCATCCCCTGTGGGCACCACCACACCTGGCTAATTTTTGTATATTTAGTAGAGGTGGGGTTTCACCATGTTGGCCAGGCTGGTCTTGAACTCCAGAGGTCAAGTGATCTGCCTGCTTGAGCCTCCTAAAGTGCTGGGATTCCAGGCGTGAGCCACCATGCCTGCTCCACAGATTCTTTTTTTCAGTAAAGGTTGTTAGAATTCATCCCTTGGTCCAGGCTCCTATATAAATTTCTGTAACAATTGATTGGCAATGATATATGATTAGATAAATCAGTATTGCAGCAACCCTTCGGGAAAGTAGGGCAATTTTTGAGGATTTGGGAAAAAGTTTTAATTTTTTGCGCTCTTAGGTCAGAGGATGTAATTAAGATCTACCGGATGAGGGAGATTTTGTCCCATGGTTCTGAAAAGCAGGCTTATATACTTCTAGGGCAACTTAATCTAGGAACCATTAGAACGTTCCCATCAGAATACCACATTCTTACACTGAGAATATTTTACATCCTTGTGCTATGATCGTACACTGATTTGGTCTTGTGTGAAGTTCAGGTGATTCTGCTGCCTCAGCCTCCTGAGTAGCTGAGACTGCAGGCATGTGCCACCATGCCCAGCTAATTTCTTTGTATTTTCAGTAGAGATACGCTTTCACCGTGTTAGCCAGGAGGGTCCCGATCTCTGAACCTCGTGAAGTGCTCACCTCGGCCTTTGAGAGTGCTGAGATGAGAGGCGTGAGCCACCGTGCCCGGCCCACAGATTCTTTTTTGTTTGTTTTTGTTTTGTCTTTCCTTATTCAGTCTCCCTAGAGACTCAAAAATTGTCAATGCCGACCTTATTGCATGTCATCATGGTGAGGTATTGGGAAAAGTTTTCAATTAGCAATAATCTCATCTCAGATGAAACTCATTGGCTATGATACTGGCACTGAGCAAAGCTCACAGATTCTTTTTAAAGTAAGTGTTGATAGAATTTATATATCAGTCCAGTTTCATGTATAGATGCCTCTAACCATTCAATGACCTTGGTACCTGGTGAGATAAGTCACTATTGCAGCAACACTCCCGGAAAAGAGTTTGACTCATTTTTGGAGATTTTCTGGGAAAAAAATTTGGTTTAACTTTGCATAGACTGAGGCAGAGAATATGGTATTATGGTCTACATGTAGAGGGAGATTTTGGCCTGTGTGTCTGGAAAGCAGGCTCACCTACTCACCAGGCTTCATCTAGGGCACCCTGGAATGGTCCTGTCAGAATTTGTATTCTTGCCCTGAGAATATTTCTGTGCTTGTGCTATGACTAAACACTGATTTGGTCATATGCAAAGTGTGATTTGCTTAATGTGACCTGCGTCTCTAAATTTATTTACAGAAAGTCAAAGTGATGATGAGGAAGAGGAAGAAAGAGGGCCAGTGCCCCCCAGGTAATGCTGTGGAGTTGTGGGCTGTTAGTTCAGTAGTGACACCTGGAGACTCTAGATCCAGGGAAAACAAGAAAGTGATGACTAGAACTCTTTCTTCCCTTCACCAGCTACAAATTGTCCTTATTAACTATGTTGTGGGTGATTGGTGGCACTTGTATAGGCTTTAATTTCTCACTCCTCCCAAGATGGGAACCTGCAATCAGATGAGCCAGGTGAACTCAGCAAACAGGGATTTCCTGGTTTCGCCTGTTCTCCCCACTGTGTTTAAACCCAGGGAGAGATGCATGTATGCTTTCTGCCCATTTGTTGTGAGCATGTTTGCTAGGATTTGTGAAGAGAAGGAATTCAAAACATAGACACATGATATCAAAATGCTGGAAAAGGGAGGCCCTTAATACACAAGATCTGGGTGTCTGAAATGCCTCAGGAGCTCTGTTCACTTGAATGCCACATGTAAACTTCAACACAACTTACGCGAGGCAGTTGAAGCCCCGTGTTAGTTCTCGTACTGTAAGTCGCGATGATAGTTTACAGGGAGAGTCTGGGTGGCCTGCAGTAGCTCATCTGTGGCAAATGCACTGAGCACATACTGCTCATTTGTGCTCTGTCCCCAGGGTAGTCACCCTCCACCCTGCATTTAGAAAGGATAGTTTTTTTTATTCTCTTGAAGGAAAAATGCCTTTGCTTTCTATGACCATTCCATTCTGACTTCCATCAGATCAGCTGGGAGACTTTGTTGTCTAATCTCTGTTGGTTTCATCTTCTGTCATCCCTGTCCTGCCTGGCTCATCAGGAATCTGCAGGAGTCTGTGGAGGAGGAAGCCCCCCAGGAGTCCTGGGATGAAGGTTATTCGACTCTCTCAGTTCCTCCTCGCACATCTGCCTTCAATGAGTCTTACAGGAGCAACTTGCACTCATTAAAGGAGCAGCAAGTCAACTTGGCTGTCGACATAGGCAGTGAGTACTCCATTGTGAAGTTGATAAAGCTCCAATTTGTGTCCCAGATAGACCCCATAGACTTCGGGCCTTACTCCGCTGGCCAGGCTGAGAGTTGTCATCACTGTGGGCTGAACCTGTCCATCAGTGTAGATGTCAATCACTCTGGATTCCAGCCTGAAGCATGGGCATGCGGTGGGTCAGTGAGCTTTGCTCTCTCTCTAGTCTCAGGCCGTGCCCGTCGCACCCTGGACCGACTTTCATGACACTGAAACCCAACGCAGGTGTTGCCAACTCACACCAAGCCGTGCAGCGCATGTCCATGAGTTGTCTCAATCTGAATTAAATGTCTCTTGCCAGCTACCACGTTCCTCATGAGTTTTGTTCCCCATGCATGTCTGTGAGGTTCTTTCCTGTTTGTACAAACTTGGGATAAAGGGATAATGGTCTGCCAGAATAGGGACGTTTCACCATTGGTTCTGAGACACAAACCAAGGAATCTCTATCATTATTGGCCTTGAGACCTCCTGAAGTCTGTCTCTCACATTATCCTGTTCTCATGCTGAGGAGCCTGAGGTCCCTGTGCAGGGATTAGACAGTGGACTGTTATGGGTGTAGGGGAATGGCTTATTTTGTCTGTCCCTATCTGAATTTATTGCAGAGATTAAAGAGAACCAAGAAGAGGAAGAAGACCGAGGTCCACTGTGCCCCAGGTAACTTTGAGCAATTGTGAACAGCTAATGTTGTGTTGACACCTGGAGACGCCAGGTCCAGGGAAAACAGAGTGGGCTGACAATATCGATACCATCTTTTCAACGAAGCCTGAATTATTCCTACTAACATTCCTGTTGGTTTTCATTGTAGTAGATATTTATGTTTCCATTTCTTCCTCCCCTTACCATTTACTAACTACTGTAGGTTGACCCTATTTGTTTTTATGATCAGTGTACACTGTGTGTCCTGAGGGCACTAACTCAGAGTGTGCTTTTACCCCCTCATCAGTGTGTCACCTGGATGGTTCACTGAGCTTACTTTCTCTCTCTTTTTCATTCTTTTTACCCTACTCTTGTCCATCCCAGCATAAGGCAATAATTTGTTGCATTATTAATGGATCTATGTTTTTTCTTTGTTAACCACTTTCTGGTGCTACCCATGAAATCTAGTTGGGGTGCTGCGGTGTCTTATTTTCCCTGACTTATTCTTTGGTTTTTCCTCCTTTTTTAGGCTCAGCATGGAGCTGGTGGAAGCAGAAGAGCCCGAAGTCGTCTGGCACTCACTGGATATATTGTGTTCAACATATACAGCATATCTTGAGTTTTATTACACATGCCAGGCTTACACATATGCCATTTTTTTATTTGTAGAAAAGCATGTTCGCTTGACTTTGGATATGGACAGTAGGTTTCTTACTATGATGGTGATAAGACTCCACCTGGTCTCCCGGATAGGGGTCATATTCCCACACTAAGACAACATGTCACATGGGACTCTGCCAGTACAGAGTATGAACAACGCCATGTTCTTGCTGAAAATGCTTAGCCTGAGTTTCATAGCCTGAGGTAATCTCCAGACAACTTCAGAATGTAGAACAGTGAGCAGCACTACTGACCTGTCTCCTTCAGACAGCCCATGTCACCACAAATCACACAACTAAAAGGAGAAGAGACATTTTGGTTTGAAAAAGAGTAAAAAGATAATGTAGCCACAATTCTTTAGTTCTTTTGAACCCAAAGTGTCTCCTCGTCTTTTTGTTGTTGTCGTTGATGGTGGTGACGTGGGCTTGTTTGTGGAGGACAGGTCAGCTGTCTGGCTCAATGGTCTGTACTCTAAAGTTGTCTGAAAATGTCCTCATGATTAAATTCAGCCAAAGCGTTTTTCCAGGAACACTGCAGGGTCAATGTGACCTCACCCATCTGCAGGTAGAGATGGTCCCATGTGTCTACCACCATGATCGTGATACCAGGACTGTTCCACCATCTGTCTACCACCATGATCGTGATACCAGGACTGTTCCACGATCTGTCTATCACCATGATCGTGATACCAGGACTGTGCCACCATCTGTCTACCACCATGATCGTGATACCAGGACTGTTCCACCATCTGTCTATCACCATGATCGTGATGCCAGATCTGTACCTTTCAGAGACACATTATTTATACTGAAGTAATTGGAAAAATGGTTGTTAAAAGCATTAATATCCTGTTTTCAAATGGTCATCCCTCAACATTTTATTATTCATTAATCATCCCTGGCTGTGTCAATTATTATGTTTACATCTGTACACTGGAAATTTTCTATTTTTACTGTATCTTTGCTTTTGCTAGTTTCTGTTGTTGAACAAAAAAAATTCCCTGCCCGCATTTCAATTTTTGCCAAAGTTAATTTTAATCTATACAATGAAAATTTTTTGTCTTTAAGATAAGTCCGTCAGCATAAGGCCACAGCAAAACAGAGATTTTGCTAATTTTTGTGCCTTTGTTAATTTCTGGCTGATGATAGAGGCTGCTAATATCTATTTAAGTTAGCAGCTAGAGAAATGGCTATCAGACTAAGGATATGCAAAGCCCAGGCCATTCTCTTTGAGTCTTTTAAACTATTTCAGAAGAGAAGAGAACAGGCAGATTCCACATATGTGGACAGAGAGGAGAATACACTAAAGGACATAAACAACCGTTTCCCAAAAGAGAATAGAAAATCCATTAAAATTCATATTTTCTCATGAAATGTAATCTCTCTAAACTTAGCCAATATATCAAAGTAAATTCTTAATATGCCGCACTACATTGACTGTTGACATTCATAAGAATTCATTTCCATGTTTGTTATTTGAAAAAGCAAAAGGACTATCATCCTTTTTTTCTTTGCCGTGATCTTTTTAAGATTGAGGATTGTTTTTCAAAATAAACCCAAAGATTTTAAAGATTGAAAATTGGCATTAAAATTTATCTTCTCAAAGCAATGATGTTTAACTGAGGCTGTCTTATTCCTGTTTGTAGTATAACTGTCAAGTGATCATTTAACCATTCTTTAAATGTTTCAAAATACTGGGAACAAACCACATTCCGGGGTGTATCTTCTTTTGTTTCTTTATTTTAAGTTCTGGGGTACATGTGCAGATCTTGCAGGATTGTTACACAGGTATACACATGCCATTTTGGTTTGCTACCTCCACCCCTCATCACCTACATCAAGTATTTCTCCTAATGCTATCCCTCCCCAATCTCCCCAACCACTGCTATCCCTCCTCTAGCTCCCCCATCCCCTCACAGGCCCCAGTGTGTGATGTTCCCCTCCCTGTGTCCATGTGTTCTCACTGTTCAACATGCACTTATGAGTGAGAAGTTGCGGTGTTTGCTTTTCTGTTCCTGTGTCAGTCTGCTGAGAATGATGGTTTCCAGTTTCATCCATGTCCCTGTGAAGGACATGAACTCATCGTTTTTTAATGGCTGCATAGTATTCCATGGTGTATATGTGCCACAATTTCTTTAACCAGTCTATCTTTGATGGGCATTTGGTTTGGTTCCAAGTCTGCTATTGTAAGCAGTGCTGCAGCAAACATACGTGTGCATGTGTCTTTATAATAGAATGTTTTGTAATCCTTTGGTCAGGTACCCAGTCATGGGATTGCTGGGTCAAATGGTATTTCTGTTTCTAGATCCTTGACGCATCACCACACTGTCTTCCACAATGTGCCTGAATATTATGTCTTTCTCTAGGTTTAGAAAGTTTTCCGTTGTTATTTCTTTGAAGAAGCTTTCTACTCTTTGCTCCTTCTCAACCCCCTATTTAAGGCCAGTGAATCTTTGATTTTCTCTTTTGAAGCCCTCTTCTAGATCTCTTAAGCATTCTGAGTTCCTTCTCATTATTCTTTCTTTTTTCTCCTCTGACTGTATTTTGAAATAGCTTGTTTTAATGCTCACTAATTCTTCTGCTTAATCAATTCTACTGACACTCACTAAGGCATTTTCCAGCTCCAGGAATTGTTTGCTGTTTTCTATTACGTCAGTATCCTTGTAAAATTTTTCTGATATAATTTTGAATTGTTTCTGTTTTCTTGAAGTTC